AACGTGTCAGGAATTAATCCGACAATTGGGGAAATCAATAATCCTAGACCATTCTACCATTGAATTCAACTCTATTCTTGATTATTGCTAGTTTTATTATTGTTTTTCATTAGTTCACTAAATTCTACTCATTATCCATTAAAAATCTTGCATCCGGGGATTGTTTGAGCTATTCATTAGCAGTGTTAAAAGTTCTAGTAAATAGGTTAGTTCCCCGTGGAATTCGACTCCAGACTAAACCGGATTATATATTTGCAGCGACCGCTTAGTCCTTTTTATAAGGCGTAGTTGGGCGTGATCAGTTAGGCTTGGCCTATTTCTAATTCCGTGTAGTACGTATTATTGGTATCGGGGCAGTGTTCTTCTGACCTGCTACCATGGGTGATCACATCACTCGTATGCAAGAATTACGAAGAGAAGTTGACACATTGAAAGGATCTATGGAAGGTGTGGTTTTGGTTCCATTGTAGAGCTACATCAAGCAGTAGATGCAAAAGTTTCATAGGAAATCAAAGAAATCAAGAGGTTGGTGACAGAGAATTTGAACCCTCCTATGGTTCAAAATCTTTTTGTTAATGGCGAAAATTATGGGAATAACAATGTGTTTCGATGGAGAATGGCCACAAAGCTAGCAATTTTGTTGGCCACTGCCAAATAACAACTCGAAAACTACCAGGTGGATTTCCCAAATTTTGATGGCTATGGGTTGAAAGATTGGCTCTATAGCTGTGAGCAATTCTTTGATTTGGATGAAAACCTAAAGATGTCAAGATGAAGTTAGCTTCCTGCAAGTTAGAGGGGAAGGCTTTAAAATGGCACCAGTCTTACATGAAACATAGAGTCATAAGGGAATGGCCAAGATGGAGTGAGTATGTTAGGAGCTTGTATTCAAGATTTAGGTCAGAATTGTTCGATGATCCAACGGGGGATTTCAAGGAGCTTCATCGGATAACCACTGTTCAAGATTATGTTGATGCCTTTGATGAATTACTTACGAGGGTAGAATTTTCTGAAGATTATGTTGTGAGTTGTTTGTGAGGGGGCTTAAACCAGAACTTGGACTAACTGTAAAGATGTTAGGTCCTAGATTCTTTAGCTAAGGTTGTAAGTTTAGCTAGGATCCAAGAACAAACTCTAATAGTTTAGAAACAAATTTTTTCTTATTCTTCCCCTCATAACTCCAGAAATAATAATAGATTCACTCCCACTTTCTCTTATGGATCCACCTAGCCTGCTAAACCTACTCAAGATTACCCAAGACCACAAAATACCACCCCTAATTACTCCACTACCAGACCAAATAACAATCCAAATGTTAAACCCAACCTAAAGTATGCTAAGCTACCAACACTTGCTGAGATGGATGAAAAAAGGAACAAAGGATTATACTTCAATTGTGATGAAAAATATACTTATGGTCATGTCTGTGAGAATAGAAGGCAGTTGTATTATATGAAAGTAGAGGAAAGTTGTGAAGAATTCAAAGAATTAAGGGATGAGGATGTAGTTCTATAGAAGCTGGTGAGTTTTTAACAATGATTGGACAAGGAGTTGAGACTGATGATGAGGGCTCCATCTTGCCTCATCTATCAATTAATGCTATGAATGGTTTGGATGACTTTAGGTGCATGAGAGTTACTGTATCTGTAAAAGGAAAGATAATTCATGTGTTGATTGATACTGGAAGCACTCATAATTTACTGGACCTCAACACTGCTAAGAGGCTAGGGTATGTTCTGAATGCTATAGCACCCTTTGATGTATCTGCAGCCGATGGAAAAAAAATGCAGAGCAATTATGTGCGTAAGAAGCTGAACTGGAAAATGTGAAGGGTTACATTTGACTCTGACATGCTGGTACTGCTTATTGGAGGCTGCAACATGGTTTTAGGGACCAATGGTTGCTCACTTTGGGTGATATCATGTGGACTTCAGAAAACTTAAAATGTAGTTTAGTGTCTTAGGTCATAAGGTGTCCTTGAGGGGAATGCAGTCTGCTGCTGTCGAGATGATCCAACAACATAGCATGAAAAATAATTAGCCAAATCAGCTGAGCTCTGCATGATATCTGTTGGTAATTTTAAAGAAGAACATCAATGAGGAGTTGGTGCTAGTTTACTGTCCATTCAGTTGATTTCCTATTTTAGTTGCAAATTCTGTATTTTAGTTGAGGAATTAATCATTGTAATTAGTTAGTAGTTAATTGGTAGTTAATAGGCCTGTGCAGCACGTGACTGTTAGTTGAACTAGGGGTGGGCATCGGTCGGTTCGGTCGGTTATTATGAAAGTACGGTTCGATTTATCGGTTTTCGGTTTTGTAATATTAATAACCAAATCACACCAAAATTTTTACGGTTCGGTGCAGTTTTCTCAAAGTTCATTTCAGTTATTTTCGATTTAGTTTTTCGGTTATTAACAGTTCAAGATTTTTATATCTTGGATTTACTTCCAGTGGTCATAAACTTCCAGTCCAATGGTTTTTGCATCTTGAACCACTAGGCATAACGTTTTATGGATGTAACATTGCAACTTCTGGCAGCATCCAAACATGAACAACATGCATCCTTGACCAAAAAATTTGAGGCACAAGGATATGGCAGCTTTTAGTGAAAATGGACGAAAACAGCTGCTCGAACTAGCGATATGTGTTCCCAATCAAGAAAAATACACAGGAAACAGGCAGTCCGGCCGTGAATAATTTTTTTACATCATAGTTTTTATTGCAGTTATAGCTGCCTTAAAACTTTTAGTTCACAGTGGAAGACCCTGATGCTAACTTAGGCACTGTATTACAAATTACAATACTACTACAAGCTAGGTTTAACTTCCTAAGCTAGGTTACAATCTATAATAGTCTATCTCAACAAAGTGGTGAAGGCCGACGAGGACCAAATTTTGTAAACCAACGATTTTGTGCGTTGGGGGCTGCTACTGCAAGTTGATGCTTATACAAAGCCTTTTCTGGTGTCCCAAAATGTGAAAGATTGGCCTTGCCAAACTCTTCAAATCTGATGTTTGGTAATACGAAGCCATTATTTCCTTGGAATTGTGATGAAGTGCATTGCTGATGTACTATATTCTGAGAGCATAAGTATTTCAATAGTAAGAGTCTTGACTGCAAACATGAAGCAAGGATCTGTCCATATTTCATCAGAAGGTAAACCCACAGTGGAATAAGCATTAACCGAAGGCATATTCGATTTAACCAAAAACCGAAACACCAAAACTGTAAACCGCATCGAAAAATCGAAATTTAATAATTTAAGACTGTGCCGAGTGAATAACCGATTAAATCGAAAAACCGAAAATTCACGGTTCGACCGGTTTTTTCGATTCGGCCGGTATTATGCCCGCCCCTAAGTTGAACAGTCAGAAAGTTAGTTATAACTAACTTCTGGACTCTCCCCTCCCTCTCAACTACTCTATGCATAGCAGAGATCAAGCTGTAAAATGCATTCGAGAATTAAGTCAATAAGAATCTCTTTTCCCTGAGCTCTTCTTCTGTTCTTATTCTTCTTCCTCTTCATCGAGCTCAAATGTTCAAAAGCAATTTTGTCCATTTGTTCCTTAGGTTAGGCATGGCCTCTTTCTAATTATGTGTAGTATGTATCACAATTAGCAATATATACAACAACAACAACAATAGCATATCCCGTATGATCTATACAATATTAAGTGTAAGTTCGATTCTTACTATTATTACACTTTTTTGTTTCTAGTGTAATAGGATTAAGAGCTTGAAATAAATAAATAAAAGGAGAGTAGAAAAACTTAACCCAAATGGCAAATCAGATGATAATATAACACCTTGAAGTTAATCAAATAAATCAATCTATTGGCAGTAACAAATATTTGGTGTTCTTTACAATTCACACACAACATACACATACATTCAGTCTGATGAATCATTTATCAAGTAGGTCTTGTATTGGTGGTTGTAAGCGTTTGAACAATATCTTTGGTTGAAATTTAAAGGCAAAATACATAGTTTATCCAGTGACCTTGCAGAGAAATCCCTATTTCGTTCATGGAAAATCTTTTACATAGAAAAGTGTGTCTAAGACACACCATTTTTGTTCTTGATCAATTTTTCAGATAACGTGAAAGTCATGCCCTAATAGGGCCGTGACACGTGTCTTTAACTTTAAAAAGGAAAAAAATTAGAAATTACAATTAAAACTCATCTTCTTCACCTTCCCATTTTCTATCTTAAGCACCATTGTTGCTGCCACCATGGTTGTTTGTGAGAAAGTTTTCAGCAATACCAAAATTGAACCATATACTATCTAAACAACTAGCCAAAAATAATAGAGCAACAAATTGAGTTCAACAACCCAATAATCAACAAGACCCAATTGAATTTTCAAGCTTTTTTGGATACCCCAACAATGGTGGGTTCTAGATTTTTTCACCAAACTTTTGATACTATTGTTAAAGCTTTTAAATCTATCATAAATAAATAATTTTCACAATATTTGGATAATAAACCAACAAAAACGGTTCAATTTTAGATCTAAAATTTTATGTTCTTTCAAAAATTCTATTTGGAAAAGAAGATGAGGGGAACGGTGGTCTGAGGAAGAAGATCAGAGAGAGGGGGAGGGGTTCCTGTGGGGAGGGGAGACAAAAAAATGGGATTTTTTAGGAGCTTCACGTGCTTTTTTTGTGTGTAAACACGAAGTAGTGTGTCTTAGACACACTTTTAAAAGGTTGAATGTGTAAAAAAAATTCCGTGAAGGAGAAGCGTGTAACAGGCATTACGCTGCAAGATTGACGAGTAAACTATGTATTTTGCCAAATTTAAAAGAAAAAAGTATAAGTTGAAGTTGAAAAATAATTTAAAATTTTAAAATACTTATTTTAAAATTTCCAAAATATTATTATCTATATAGATACGTGTTTCAAGTATTTGAAATTGAATTTTACGAACCGTTGCTGTGTTTCATGATCTCATCACAGAGCCCAAAACCCAAACGTCTTC